GGGGCCGGGGCCGGGGCCGGGTGCGGGGCGGCTCAGCGCCTCCCGGAGCTACGCAGYAGCCGCTGTGGGTGCCGGAGGGAACGGGTTGAGCAGCGGGTTGTTTGCTTTATTTTGGGCCCCTCATCTATCCCCTGCTGCAGGGAGAAGGGGGAAGGCTTGGTTTTGGCTATAGGCTAGAGATAAGAGCCCGAGTGAAAGAGGAAGGCGAAGCCTCTGTCCTGCTGAGATAGGCGAATGACACGTGTCAAGTTGGAGCGATACTGTGCGGTGGAAAGAGTTCGAGTGGTGGCATGAAGTGTTTGGAAACAGCTACTGGTAGAGTAGTATCGTTACTTTGTTTCCTGAGCGAGTATACTTACACCTTTTGCCAACTTTTCCGACAGTTTTGTTCTGGTAAATTACTTAAACCGTTCCTGTTGTTTTTCCTCAAACGTTCGTGTTTGTTACGTTTACCTSTACAGACAAGAACTTCATTTTTGTGGAGCTTAGGGAAAGGGGTGCTGATCCTTAAATGGTATTCTTGAGTAGATCTGGGAAGCAAATAACAACACTGAATATCAGAAACAATTTTTTGTGCAGGCTCTTGTAGGATATATATATAGGACAAAGGTAACTTTACCTCTTGTTTCCTTTCTTAAGACACTAGGGTTTAAATGACTGCATTTAGTGTTCTGATGGGAAAATGAAATCTCCAGAAACTTTTAAAAAGTGATGAAGTTTGTGGTATCTAGTATGCTTAAATGTTAGCTTTTAAACAAAATGTTCAAAAATACAAAACCAGGGACAGAAGTTAGGGTAGCTGATATACTCAAATATTTYATTTTAAAACCAAACAGACATATAGCTAAGGGAGAGTGGCAGGAGAAACACTGTGGTAGTAGCTGTAGTTAAGTGGAATAGACAAGGTGATTAATAAAAGCAGCTAGCCAAGGCTGTGTCTTTAGTTATATGTATTAATAGTATCCTCCTTGGCTTTAGAGTTGTATTCAGAATATACTTATGATTCAGATGTGTATTTTTAACTGACTCATTGGACGAGGATTTTGAATGCACTTTTATCTGTAGTGGGGGAAGTATGGGGAAAGGAAGATGAATATGTGTGATTATAGATATGGATATCTTAAACAAACAGTGTGAAATCTATAAACTTTGTACATTGATAATACTAGYGCAAGTTGCTTTTTCTCAGCAAGTTTTTTAAAG